CCAACAAAGTGGCGGGAGTGCTTTACAAGATAACGGTATCGAAAATGTGTGGTAGTCGTGATGTTAGGCTTTAGATGCTTTTAAACAATTATGAACCAGTACGGATGGTCCTGAATTGGTGCTTTTTCAAATTATGTAGATACGAGCACTATCAAAAGACTTTTAGATAATTGTAACTCACAATTTGTCGACGAGGACCAGATTTTGTTGCTTGCGACGTACAACAAACATTTGCACAACGCTTTATGAGAACAAATTGCTTTTTATTTGCGTTCTGTCATTTGCCGATTCATTCTCAATAATTCTTTAAGAATCAGCACTTTCCGCATTATGTGCGTGTACGATCAGGCGAGTTCAAGAGCAAAGTGCACTTGTTATTCAAACGCACTCTTGTAGTTCAGCTTCGGATAATCTTGACGCAACTGGTGTCATCTTTCTCTACCGTACGCGACCGCAAGACGACGTGTGTGTAGCGTCACATTCAGACAAGCGGAGCTGTAACAGCAGGAACTTAACGTAATGGGTTGCTATCTTGACGTCCGCTGGCTTGCAAAACCCCAAAATGATTGAGGTAGCGTGTTACGTCATCGATTGCGCGAACTGAATCACTACTTAGCGGCACTTTACTGAGTAAGTAGTTGGCTAGGCTGAAGCACTTCCCCAAGTTTCTTTCTTACAGAGGCGCGAATCCATCAACAATTACATTTCTAGCTGTCAATTTCTCCCGAGAAACATACTCTCGAATAAATGAACCTCATCGACGCCGAAGACACAAACTTCTACACGACCGTCGAGCACTGCTCATAAATTTTATTTTGGCTTCTTACATCCGATTTTCCGTGCTTTGCACGACTATAGACGAATAAATGGGTTTATGCATAGCCACGACTTGGTCTGACAACTCCGTCAGCAAATGATTGTACGTCGCCGGCGCATAAGATATGTTGAGTGGCAGAACAAGCCCCAAAGCCATCCCAAACAGAGAATTGATGGCAATGAGAGGAATACAATTGATACTTTATATAGTTTAATCAAGGAATATACAGCAGACCATGCCATTCTGCAGCGCATCAAATCTAGTAATCGGCACTTGCGCTGGATTTGTGGCTGGATTTAGCTTGTAATAAACATATACATTATGTCACTTGCAGCTAGCCTTTTGACAGAGAAAGTCTACAACGAATGGGGAGACTTGCAATCCCCCACTAAACTTGCTTCGTTTCTTGCAGAAAAAGCGTTGACGACGCCACACTGCGCGCTCAATAAGGGCTTTCTTACGAAGCACTTACGAATGTTAATGAGACAGTATGATTTTGTGAACTGTTGTTAGCTAACCTACGCATGCAATTATTCAGTCTATAAGATTAAATTGCGACCGCATTTAATCGATCCATCCACAATTGAAATGAAAGAGCTAAAATTATATTCTTACTACATAATTTCACATGGGCTAACTGAGGTCATGGAATGATTTCGCTCTTACGGACCAGTCAGGCGTGAAATGCTTTGTTGTTGCTATGGATCCTCCCTCCCCAAATCATCGACGTGGGCTCAAATCACTTGTGATTCTTTAGGCTCGGCGGCGCGATGACGAATCGCAGATAGCGAATCTCAAATCTGGCTGAGCTCATCCTTCAGCGTACACCGTGACTTTTTAAAAGAACTGACGTGCCGCCAAAGCCAAGTAAATTTACGCGATATAACAGCCGGCGGGTCGGCCACCGTAAGCACTTCTCAATGAGCAAGAGATATACCACTTTCACATGAAAGATTCAGCGAGACGGCGGGTACACCAATGCATTTTTTCCGGCTTTTGATACCGATAAAATAATGTCTTTATCCAGCAAGCCCATGGGAGCTCAGGGATCCGCTCCGTTCAGACTTCACTGATGTCCTGACCCTAACGGCCTTGTGCACCCTCGTCCTTTGTAATTTAGGGGAAAAAAGAAGAATTTTCAGTCGCAACACGCTTTCTACTAGTGAGTGTGGATTGACCTTGTGCTGAGAATGACTCTTGAAGGGTAGCTGTAACAGTCGGCTGAGAGAGACGAATATGAGGCTGTTAAAAGCAGCAACTAAAGTTTTTGGACTTACATGCCACCGTTTGCGAGATCTGGTGTCTTTTGCTAAGTCAATAGGTCAAAATATAGGTCTGACGATTATTTCAAAAGCTCTCTCGTAAAAAGGTCAGACAGCAAGGCTTTCTCGCCAAGTGCGCAGGTTGATCAAAGAAGTTACCCTCACTTCTGACATCTTTAATCAGCGAGGGTGGGCTCCACAGCGAATACGGTTTTCCTCAATAGCTGCAACTCCGAGCGTAGGCGATTCCGCTAAAGAGTGATGACTTGTGGGGATAGAAATAACCAGTAAAGCAACCTTCTGAAGATAACTAGACTCTGTGAAGACAAGATCTTTATCTCACGTGGTATACTTACCGCATGTCGAGGTGATATAGACACGTTTTGCTCAGGTATAGAAAATGCATAGTTTTGGTCGTAATCCCGATATTGGTATAGATCACGTTAGAGAAATCAGAGCTAACTGACACTAACATAAATGTGACATTGATTGTTCTCAATTTCCTTTTAAGTTTCTAGCCGTGAGTCCATCATCTTTGCTTTGTTGTCGCAATCACAAGAATCATCCGTGCAAAGTGCACGGCAACACGACGCAGCTCGGTAAATAGTAACAATTCGTCAGACTTGTCGCTGTATCAGTAGATGTTTCTCTGTGTCGTGCCTCTGTGCAATGAAGCTGATGATCACAATTTCATTCATACTCCTATCACCTATATCAATTGGGGTCTCTAGCAGTTTTGATAGTTATACTTGCGTAATGCTCGATCAAAATGTCTTGGTTATAGGCTTAGACTCACTAAGAAAGATACATTTAATTTGGACCCTTTCGATTCTAAAGCCATATTAGAGATACAATCGTTGCACAAACTGTAAAGGAATAACCCTTAATTACACATGATGTGTGAGCCACATAATCTCTGTGTGGGTAACATTGACTATGTATCTTGCATAGTTGTCGATTCTTAAATCTATTTAATCAAAATTGAAGGCAATTATCGTTATAGGAAAGGTTTGAGGCCTGTTGGCCGCAAAAAAATCCTCCTCGCTCGCGTACAGCGGCGGATCAATTAAGCGAGCAACACGTGGCGAAGTGTTTTAACCCATTTAAGTCTTCCTCAGTAAATGCATGTGTCCGGACGGGCGCTTCCTGTTATATAAACACGGAGGAGCTGCTAGGCGGGCTATAGATCTTATACTATCCCCCGACATGACGGTTTTCATCGCCTCTGACCTGCCCGTTGAGCTCTGATTTCTAAAATGCCAATTGACTTTCAAGGCACGAAGATGTCCTCCTTATTGTAGTGCGTTATTCTACGCTTCGGAAGAGGTCTCGACGTCATTGCGAATAAGTATTCAGCGTGATTCGCTACCTCTTGAAATCCCTGTATGGCCAACGAAAACTTAAAAAGGTTGGTAATGCGGTGCAAACACCTGCGACATTTGCAACACTTTGAACTCATCATATTGAAATCCCCCAACCGCTTGGGGTAGTGCATATTAATGCTGATTCGCGCTCTCGGTCTCCTAGCTTGTAGACCATAAGGGATACTTGCTGTTGCGTCGTTAAAACATATCAAATTTATGGCCATCTCAACCTTCCTCATATAGTGGGAGTATTTTCCTTCGTATCTTTCCTCGAAAGGCTAGGCTTTGTCTATCAGCGACTTTACGATGCGTGCCAGTCGCGCTTAGGTTGCGGAAGTAGATGCATACTGAGCGCGTAGCTAGTGGACGACTCTCGGCATATAATCACCCCTCACGAATGATAAACCAACATACGCGCTATTGCCTCGCAATAAGTACAAAAAATAGAGTGTCTAGCTGCTCAGATGTCGAAAAATGCAATTAGCTTGTGTTTCACCATCACAGAAAACAAAGTCCTTTCACGATTTCGTCGTAGACGACTACGCATGATTGCAAAAGTATCGCGATTGCCTTGCGCCTTGTTTAGAAGATGCTTCAACTAAAAAGTGCATATTAAATAATTCACGAAGGTAAGATTCGTAAGATTAACTCAAGAACGAGTTTAAAGCCATGAATTAAAATCTGCCGTACTATTTCAAGAAAACATATATTGAGGACAAATTCTTTTTCAGCAAAAAACAAATATATATGTCCTAATTTCTTGACATAATTGCGATTTTTATTGGCAAGAGACCAAACGCCTACGTGTGTTCTTTGCGAGTCCTATCGTCGTCAATTTCAATACTTTGATAGTTTTGAATGTTTACAATCAAACAACATTGTAATATAATTTTTGCAGTTGTACAAAATCTAATCTGTACAATGTATCTGTAAGGAGTACGTACCCAGTTCCCGTCAATTTCTTCAGCGTGCGTACTAATAATGCAGCAAGCCCCTCCCCTAACTTATTGCTTCCCACGCTTGCTTACGCTTATCACTTATCACGGTGTCAAAAATTACGCAACCAAAGTGAAACTCACCACGGATGCACCTTAACGCATCTTGCATTGACTGCCCAGTCCAGTGAGCTCATGTCGTGATCATCATTCGACAAAATTGAGCGCACTCATTCTGGGCAAATATATGAACTTTGGTGTGGCTGTCACATTGACAACGAACCATGGCGCATCACATACCGTAAGTGGGTCATTCTACTTGATTTACGCCTATTTTCCATATAAGTATCTCTATCCTTCCTTTGGGCTCTTCCTCAGTCATTCTGTATGGGCGTGGTGTAAATTTCTGACAAAAAGTACGGATGACTAGCTCCTTTAAAATCGCAGATTATCGAACAAGATAGTTACATGCACTGAGAGATACAAATCGTGATTGGCAGGTTCGAATTATCACATTTGCAATGCAAGACGGTTTGTCATCACAATTGATGTCACGCCTTGTGAGCAGTCTTACCTACTTAGCATCTGTCCGCCGCCGACGTTTCTAGATGAGAATGGCGGCGTCCACTATCACATGGAACGCCTTGTGGGTCGACGTCATCGACAGGGTCAAACTCAGTATCTTGTGAAGTGACAAAGATACCCAAACACCTGGAACTTGTGGGAGATTGAGGTTCCACTTCGGCAAGACTGCGCAAACGTCATAGGCGCTTATGATCAGAAGGATCATGACGGTCCGAGTCGTCGTGCGCGCCTGCGCCCCTCGTCGGTAATCCAAGAAGCCGAACGGCCATTATCTGAGCTTAAGCGAAGGCCCTGAGCTGCTGTGGTCGTGGACCCACCCGTGTGAGAACCAAAAAGCTTGCAGGAGCGTCGTCGCGCCTTGAGTTTGGCAACCTCAAATCAAAGATGGCGTTCTAAGCGCACGTCCACTTCCTTGTAGCTCTGCTGTAAGTGAGCGAGGTAATTTTCCGGTGCCGCTGCACCCATCGCTCAAAGAGCTCCTCATCATTTGCAGCGGATTCGCCTGGGGCGAGCATCACAGCAATAGGCCGCATTGCGGGTACAGGAGCGCCTTCTTTTTGCGCTTAAAGTCGAGCGCGGTACCTACCCATCAGGATTTCTTGAGGTACCAAGAAGCGATATCGGTAGCTTTCCGCTGGTCAAGCTCATCTTTTGTAGTGGCCTGGGGCCCGACAACGTAGACGTCTAACGATCAAGTGATCGCGTCTTTCGTTACAGTTGCGGAATTTGCCGATTGGAAGCCGTACTCCACACAAGGGTAATGACCGAACGTGAATACGAGCACACGAGAGCCGCCCTGTGGGCAGCATCTCCTGTGTCTCGTCGAGGCGACTGGTAATAATTCCAGATCCTACGGAAGTCGAGAGTTTGGGGAACGGACACGGTGTCTGCAAGGTTCGATTAGGGCTCACATTGCGCCGTCGGTGCGCTTCGCCCTCCTCGTCTCCCCATGCTGGGAAAGGAGTATCCGACTCGTAGACGACTTCTCCGAATATTCGACGAGGAAATTTCGTCGCCCGTGGCGGGCGCGGTGTGTGGGGCCGATTTTTGCCGAGGGCTTGGGATGTGCCGGATGAAGCTGCGGACGTACTGTCCGAAGATGTATGTATCCCTTGCAACCAGCTAGTCTGGGTGTTTTTCGTGTCATAGCCGCAGGGCTAGAGAATGTTTGAAGATGGTCCTGGGGACGTTACGGTGTCTCAGACACGCGAGCCTCGTTTGAGACAACAGTTAGATGTAAATTGTGGAAACTCACAATATTGATGGGGGAAAGTGTAAAGGGGTTACACGTACTCTTGGTAAAAGGGTGGGTCACACAAGATAGTATGACCATACAGAGGTGTGGATTACACAAGTCGGTGTAATCACACAATGGTGTGGCTACATTGTAAGAAGAAGCCACTACGTGGCGAGACTGCCAAAAGTTAGGCATACTAATTATGTTGTGCGATTTAATTAGGAGAACCTAAGTTTTAGATATAAACGGCTTTTCCGCAAGTAAGACAAATAAATACTGTTTCACTTTTGAACGGAAGACTTGGTTAAGGTTTTGGGTACTCTAAGAGGTAGCGGATTGCGATCCGATACACTCTTACCGTTTCTAGTATAAAAACTTAAGATCGGTGATCTGAGTTTAATTTCTTTAAGATAGAGCTACGGCAGCCTCGATGCTTTCCTTATTCTAATGGGGACATTTTTTCTGTCTCGACTCTCAGAGTTCAAGACGCTTAGCATTAGCAATCTCATGGGTTAACCCGTCTGTTCCTTCACAAGCGCAATTGTTAACGTACCTCATTAGTGCATTCTTAGAGCTGGTGAGCACCTCAAGACGAGCGATTTCAGCTTCTCACCAATTTGCTAATTCCATTGAGACCTAATATAGACAAATACATATTTACGGGAGCAAGTATTCTAACATTTCATGTTCCATATTCACAAAAATATAGTCTTATTATCCATCGGTCGTGAAGTTAAGCTCAAGTGCTATCAGGGTCAACAAGGTTGCCGCACACTTCACACTGAAGTTTTGACTCTCTTCCTTTGTGTTGACAATCGCACAGAGAATGAGTCCGCGTTCTCCTAGTACGTGCGGAATCGAGCCCCTTCAATAGGTCATACTATTCTACTCTAAGAGTACATGTGTTTGGTTTGATCCTCGACCTCCATACTCGTAACTTTCGGCGGGAAGCAATGTCAGTTCCCGCCACAGCAGTCAGGACAGTGTCTATCCATCATGGGTGAGCTGGTCCTGGCTTGCGGAGCCCATTTTGCACATTCACAAGCGCGTGGGTTGCATCGTTTCTTACCTATCTTACTTTGTCGTACTAATGATTTCAAACCATCTAAAGTTGCTCGCGGAGCTTGGTTGGCGCCTTGCACGCTCAATATGATGCATAAACAGGCACTTAAACGGCTGATAAAAAAATCTGAAATTCCAGAGTCGGCAAAGAATCACAACAATAAGAAACAAGCACTTTCGACCAGCAGTGAGACTCCAATGTATCGGAAAATTGGGCGTTTCAAGATCTGGCACATAGCATCCGAGGACTATCGCGCACTGTCGGCGCAGCACCTAGCCATCGAGCAGACGAATACGCCACTTATTGCGACGGTGGCTCGCCACTGTCGTTTGGGACATGGGGAGACGACTAAAGATCCCAATCGCCCATTTGAGAGCGTGCTCGAGTGCACGCGCACGGATAATCTGTATGCTAATGCAGACAAGTGCATATTCGGCATTGAAGAAATTCCTTTGGGGTGCATTTTTTGGAACCGTGGCCTTCGAGCGGATCCCACTTATGTCAAAGCCATTGTGAATTGGCCGGTTCCAAAGAACCAATAAGACTTGTGCAAGTGGCTTAGCCTCGCCATCTACCTGCTCAAGTATAGCGGAAATTATGCAGAAATAGCATGGTTACTGTCGAATCTCCTTAAGAAGGATACGGATTTGTGTTGGGACACCGAGCATCGGGAGGCTTTTGCCAAAGATAGCCTCCTTCATACACCAATCTGCCGTTGTCAGACCCCGATCGTCCTTTAGTGTCGCCTGTGATGATCTGGACTTTGCCATCGGCTCTGCACTGCTGCCAGCAGACGCCGAGGGGCGAGATCGGGTGATCGCGTTCGAATCTCGCCAGCCTAAGGCTGCGAAGAGCAGCTATTCAGTCCACGACAAGGAATTACTTGCGATGAAGTATACACTTGTCAAGTTCAGGGTGCACTCTTTGCTCAAAGCCGTTTGTGATCTACACAGATCATGCGTCAGTACGCACTTCGACTCAATCTCCTTATCTATCCCAGAGAATGGCCAAGTGGGTATCCTTCGTCGCATAATATAACTTCGAGGTGAAAGATAAGCCAGGAAAGCAGAATGTTTTGGCCGATGCGTTGTCACGCAGTCCGGATTTTTAACT